GTAGTGCAATAACTCAGTCCAAAACCCACAAACGGAAGACTGGTATCATTTATGTTGTAATATTCACACCTTATTTCACTTTCAGTATTTATACGTATAAATCAGATTGTCTAATTCTTTGCAAAGTTCGTTAAGTATGATATTTATTAATTATGCTAAAATGAAATGAAGGGCCCCGGGCGTATATGTCTTAAGACATCTGCCCAAGTGTAATAGTAAGAATACATATACTGCTAGTACTAGGATTAAAAATATATACGTCGCGCGAACAAAATAAATACACACTCACCTCCACAAAAAAGGGAAAAAGGTGTCTAAAAGTCATCATACATGTGTCAATACTTGATTAGTTGTGAATTAATTAATTTGACAGAGACGACCAAAGATCTGACATCAAAACAAATTTCTTTAACGAAAAAACATGACAACCGCTGGGGAAGCTAAAAAACCCCGAAAAAACACGACAACCGCTGGGGAAGCTCCTTATGATTTTACATATATATAGAGAGAAAGAAGTTGACACTGAAGAAGTTCCGCGGCCTATTTGTTCAGCCAAGATATTTTTCAATACGATTTTATAACATCTTCTTCGTATATAACCATCTTAATATATTTCACACTACATTCGGCTATCTATGTATACTGAAAAACTAACTATCGATTCACTTTACCATTATTAATCACGTGATCGTTAATCTAAAAAGAAGGATGTGGATATACACTGTGGTCACTGAAGATTACAAAAAAGTGTTAAAGGAATATCAAACAAGGGAAAACCTGAAAAATTAAAAGTTACCTCCTTTGTTTTCTATATTTAATGCCCCGTAAACTTAAAGCCCACTATGTATCTGGCATTTGGCTACCTTATCTCCCGATTAAGCTACATCTACTTAATCCAATAATGCCCTGAAAGAATGTCCCAACTCAGGCAGGAAAAGTTAAATTTGACCATTTTTATGTCATTAATAGTTAAATAGCTGGTAACGTTTCTACGTATTTATGTATCCCTGGCTTCTAATGTTTGGATTTGAGCGTTACTGATAAAGGTAAATTCAGAAAAACTCGGCGTCGGACGCACGAAATTTATATATACAGTGTTATGTTCATTTCGGTATTTTAACAAGTGCAAATAGGTGCACACTGTTGGGTAAAAATTAGTATTTACATAATTTATATTTGTTTAGATCCATATCGTTGGATCAAGACCAAAACAATATCAGTTGGGCGAGTAAGACAGTTAATAAAAAATCAAAACATACCAAATTTTGCTGGGTTTAAAGCACGTTTCTAGAGTAACCTTTTCAAGAACTATCGCGATCATGTCCAAAAGTTGCGAAAGACAAAGATGTGTAAATATACATGGAATTGCATAAACCAAAGGGCCTACACGAACGTATGGTGTCTACTATTAATTAACTTTACAAGTAGGAGGTTTAGCAAGCTATTAAACCAGGTTTAATCAATCATTTTCCTCTGAAAATTCCTGTAACAATTGTTTTTTACTCTTCCCGTTGGTTGATTACGGTTTTTTTACCGAACCTTTCCAATAAACTACAACAATTATGGTTTATACAAGGAATTCTTCAGTTTCAAGACTAATTTTACAATCATGATATAAAATCTGTGATAAAGTGTTTAATTAAGGCATATTCCTACATTTAACATATGTTACAGTATCGTCACGATGATACACTTTTGGAACAAAACATGACCAAATGACCGAGTTATTAGGAATATGTATAGAACACGTGCACATGCATACATTTTTACATAATAAATCATCATTTTACATGTTTTTTTATATTATGAAATATGGAAATAATTAATTTCCATTACTTGTAAAATTAGCATAATGGAAATAGATTAATAGAAGTAATCACGTGACTGTCACATTCTTTCTGCGAAATAAAAAAAAAATTCAATTGCGGAATATTAATTAATTTTATTTCATTATCAAATTGTACATTAAATTGAACATTCATTCAGTACAATGTATGCATGACATCGTAAAAAATATAAACCTTCACGGTGGATCTGCATTTAAAGGATGAAATGAGGCATGGCTGAATTCAATTAAGATCATATCTATATGTCCCATTAAACAGTGCAAACATTTACCACACAATCGTATATGGTTCAAATCTCAGTTTTATAACTACCCTTTGGCGATTTGTGTATCGTTTATACGATTACAACATGTATATAATTGTAAGCAAATATCCATAAATCAGTTATGAGTGAGTAAGTTATCGAATGACCAGGAAAAATACATTATTAATATTATATAGATCAACTATAAACAAATAGGAAAATTACCATTTTGACCATCAATCACACGTTTTATTGTTGACTAGATAATGTTTATTGTAAATATAGAAAGTATATAGATGGCGTTGGGTTTTTAAAACTAATTATATATGTAGCTTTTCCACGAAGTACCTCACAGGGTTACCTGAAACTACTAATAAACCTCTCAGGGGGTGGCGCCTATGATAATGACATAAGAAAAATACCCAATTTTAAAAAAAAATTATAAGCTGCAAAAAATATTAGTATTATATATGACTAATGCATTCCATAGAATGGTAACACCTAAAAGAAACATACGAAATCGGACATGTCAGTAAAATATACTGTTTAATCATAAATCTGTTTTTTGTGATAAAAAGAAGCAATGAAAAGTTTCTAAGGTACCTCAAGATAAAATAGCTTTATAAAATTAAAGTAAGTTTAGCTATTTTGTTAAGGTAACTAAAGTCATGGTTATATATAGCAACCATGCAACCTAAGGACATTGGGCGATTTAAGGAATGTTTAAAGGTCCCAGAGCCCTTTAATACGAGGCCAACAATATTGTTTATCATGAAATTTGAAGATGTGGAAAATTAGAACCCTGAACACCTTTAACATTAGATCCGACAATGAATCGATTCAGAACTTTTCTAGTTTTATATTTACGCATTTAAGGTATTAAAAATGAATCCATTATTTCTACTACATTACTTTTCATATGTAAAAATTATTTAAGAAATTGCAGTTATATTTATAATGTATACATCAAAGATACTGTGAAATGTGTTGCTTTCTTCCCCACGTTAAAAGACAGATATGGCGTCTTCTTAATGTAAATTTATACAATGTTACAGTAGTTCAACAAGTAAAATTTTCAAAATAATTCAGGTTGAAAGTGAAATATATTTTGTTTTCATATTTGCAAGGATTTGTATAGTCTTACTATACAAATCCTTGAGATTTGTTATTATAACTTTTGTAAATACTCATTCTTTATTCCTAATAAGAAAACAGTAGTCTTTTTATTTGTTGATACCTGGAATATGCTTTATATAAATTATAAGACTTTTTTGTAGCTGGTGGCTATGCAGATGCATGAAACTTGTATACATATGTTGTTGCATTCATATTTACTGAGAGTTACACTGATTACCCTTATTTCCGATACTAGCATCTTATTTGCTTGCAGGGAACTTTGAGGGAGGGAGCATTTATTTTAATGAACATTGTATGTCTGACTTTTTTGCTGATTCATCAATTTTAATTTTGAAAAATTCATACTCATGTTATTTCTGTTTATAAAATTTAAATAGTGTCTTTCTTACTTAATAAAATTTCATTTTGAAAACCCTTCAAAATATAATGGTAAAAGATAAGATATGAAAAAAACCAATGAGTTTCTGTTTTTTTGTTTATAGATCTTGAAGAAATTTTACATATTGTTTTGGCAATAGAGACCGAGTCATGTAGATTAATGTTATATTGTACTTTCATGCTGTCTGTCAAACTCCATTGTCAACCAGCCATTAAATTGTAAGTCTAGGAATACATTAATATCATTATTCGAGGCAAATATATATGCAGTTAAAAAATGTTGTAAAAAAACACAGAAATTTATATTCGGAGTGCATTATAGTTGATCATCATAAACATCAGTTTATCATTAGAAACATAAGTTTTATATAGTTTATCTTTTATTATCTAAATTTATGATATACACTTTAACTTTCAAAATCCAACTTCCGAGATGACAAGCAAAATGAGACCCAATAAGGAAATGCATAATCGTAGTTCTAATGCGAACGGACGCCCTAACAACCAAAAGAAAAACAAACAAAAGTTCACAATACAGTTCAAAGAAACTGAAGATTTAGCAACACGAACCCCACTAAAAATCGGGATTAACCAGTCTGGCAGTTAGAATAGCAAGTGCAAAAACATTTGTACAATAGAGGCTGTAAAATCTTGAACATGTATACATAAGGACATTTGACCATTAAAGTTATAAATATTTACGAAGAAAAATACAGAATTTATTAATAAGTAAAAAAAAAAATTGATGAAAGTCGTCCATAATATAAAAATAAAACTTACAGTCATATTTAATCACTTTCTTTAATCGAGCATTGATAGATCAAAAAATATTTGTATTGCAATAAACACCAGATTACACCTCAAAACAAGTAATAATTATTATTATTAGTAATTTTTAGAACGGCAGCGATGGTGTAAAGTATATGAATGGCGATTATAATATGTATTTAACACACGATTTTGATGAAGATGATTACCCTCTGGTGTACCGGGACAACTTTATCACGAACAAACATGAACATAAACAAACAAAGTGTTTTAAATAATGTCCTACTTTGCTGATAATGACACCCATTGTACTTAAAACAATATGATGTCTAAATACAGTGCTATTCAACTTAATATCTTTATTACAACATAATAGAGTATGTATGACATCTATTTAAGACCCCGGTAGATTTTTGTCTAGATAACGTCGAAGGCAACATATTAGTTTATTCTAAAATTTGAGAATTTTAATTCAGTATAAAAAGTTGAATTTACAATGCAATTGAAGTTTTGAAATTTTTGATAAATATTGATGTTAAAACTTTTTTTATTCTATCTAAATGTATGAATTTATCAGTGTTAGAATCAGAAATATTTTTTATTTTAAAATAAAAATTTAGACTCACCTATTTTTCTTATAGATAGGTTTAGCCAGATCGGATGGAGAGAGAATAAAAGTTCACTGTTTACTCCGTGTTATTTTAATCAAATTTCGCACCTGGAATCACCTGTATTAAACTTGTGCCGTATGAAGCGGTTACTTTGTATCATCGCTTGTGAATGCTGTCAGTCAAGGAACTGATCAACCGAGTGGTTTACCTGTTCTCCAATAGATTTACCTGTATGATTAAGTGTTATGCTAAGGTATTGGATAACGGTATGGTTTTTCTAATCAAACCATAAATTAACACTTTAAAGTCGAAACATTTACTATTGAATTACATAGTTGTGTTCATAGTAGAAAAGTTAAAATCCACTGTACAAGACCACAAACATCTGCAATGAAAGATAAACATCTGGATTTGCCCCCTGTCATTGACTTTTAGTATATAACTGTTCACCACAAAACCGTCAAAGATGATTTTTCCTTTTAATTAACACTATAATTACTTCATTATCCTTTTAATAACCCTTCCCTTACATCGTTTTCGGAAGCCTAGATTTAAATCTCCCCTGCAAGTTAAACCGGTTTTCTGCAGTTGATAGAAATAGTAAAATATTAACAAAAATATCATCTACTATTTTTTTCAACATCTTCATCATGTTTAATTGAAATAACGTGTAAACAAGGAATTGTATATTTAAAATTCCTTGGTGTAAGTCAAAAGACGTTCAGAAATGTTTACTTGTAAGTATACTGTATAAAGAATTTACAGACAAGGACAAAGACTCGCACTCATCCTTATGTTAACTTAGTATAAACGTTTGGCGTTTGGGAATTCTTTTCTGGAGAAGGCTTACTAATGTGTAAGATGTGAAGAAGACACACGCGTCAGTATCAATGTAAATCAAAATGTCGACAATCTATACAACATGACAACGACCCATCCCCTTTTCTACCAAAAAGACATAATTATGTTCTTGTATAAACAGCTGTAACAGACAGCACTGAAATGTAAGACGCATAACATCCATTCAAAATCGCCCAGATTCCCAAAATAGAGACCAAGCATATCTTGCTTTGGATAACTGATATGTTCCTCTTATAATTACAATAACTATATCTTTAAAATGACAGGTTTATGCTTATTGCCCAAACTTAACTTCACCTTTTTCACAAGCACAGGACATGAAAAAGTTATGCCATTAAATAAGAAGTTGACAGTAAATGTACATATATTTTTATACATGATAAAATATCTCCCGCTTTGTAATTGCGAACCTCAATCAAAATCAAATATACTGGAAAATATATAGAGAGCTTATATAAGATAAAACAATCTTCCTAGATGAGTTCTTGCATTCTGGTCATTTACTAACACAATAATATGTTTTAAGTAATACAGAGAGTACAATGGGAGCACCCGAGAAGTTTGCACTCCAGTTTTGACAGAGTTCGTGTTCCTCAGTCTTAGAACTGTGAGGTGTGGACTGCAGTTTGTCGGGTTTTTTTTCTTCTTTTTTACCATGGTGTTATTTCCCTTTCTACAACTTATGGTTTCTGAGTTATCTTCTCCGTTTTTAGAAGGGACGTTTGCACGGCTCTGATAGCACCACAATGCTGTAAGTTCCGTCAAGAGCATTTACTGGTTTCGTGTTATAAATTGCTATACCATACTGCTCAATTTTCATAGCAGATCAAATGACATGGATTACGAAGAAATACATAATTAATATGCAGAAAATGCAGTTTGAACACAATTAAAATCTTTTAATGTTTTTTTGTTATTTAAAGTATTATGTATAGAATGGAGATCTTTGATAGTCTCTGTTAAAGTTTACACAAGTGTGGCATATAAACGTTTGATATATGTTACAGAACCTGTCTTTTATCTGTTAATATAAATAAAAAGATGTGGTATGAGTGCCAATGAGATAACTATCCATCCAAGTAACAAAGTTGTAAAAGTAAACGATTATAGGTCAAAGTACGGCCTTCAACACGGAGCCTTGGCTCACACCGAACAGCAAGCTATAAAGGGCCCCAAAAAGACTAGTATAAAACCATTCAAATAGGAAAACCAACAAACACTGGACACTTTTATATTGCAAAACACTCATTTGCAAATCCGCCGCCGCCTCTCCTGAGTGCAACAGTGTCGTGTATATAACCAAAATGTGCGGAATTACATGGGATTCAATAAATTCATTGCTTTTTTGCTGTTATTATTAAATATATTTGGCAATTTGATTTAGCAAAACATGGGATTTGAAAATCCCATGGGACAGGGCAAAATCCCATGGGATTGACCATTATCCCATGGGATTTTTTTGTGTGTCCGATGGGATAATTGTAGTCCCATGGGATATTTGTTGTCCCATGGGACAGAAAAAATCCCATGGGACAAATAAAATGCCATGGGATAATTAAAATCCCATGGGATTCAAATTATAAATATACAGTAATGTGTATGTTACAATGAATTCTGTTTGGTAGTAAACTGTTATAAGTTTATAGTATGATAAGTTATGTAGTATTCGAAATGCTAGTCACTAAACTATAATATAAAGGTTATACCAAAATCCTATGGAATTTTTTTGGGTCCCATGGGACAAAAAAAAATCCCATGGGACTATAATTATCCCATGGGATGATTGATTTCCTTTAAATATCAATGAAATTAAGTACAGTTTTTTTTGTGTTTTAGTTATCAATCTCCTAGTATTGTTTCTGTGGTTGGTGATACAAAGTTGAATATCTTTTTTTCCTTTGATATGTTAATGCAATATATTGTTCTATAACAGTTCAAAACTAAACATTTAAACAACAAAGCAGATGATGTAAGTAGCAATATATGTTTATTTATGAATTCTAGAATACTTTTTTGAAACACAATTATTTACAACATTTGAAATCAATATAAACATCTATAAATATGATCAACAGTCTTAAATTCTATTATTAAGCTTAACATAGCTATTTACATAATTCAATTTTTTTTCAGGATATCCCTCCTCCCAAAAAATTAATAGTTTCTTGTAGACATATACTATAGATTCATAAAGGACTTATATAACAATAGCTAATCAATATGTACAAAACATAACAAATTCTAATACTGTAATTGTGAATACTTTTTCAAAAAGAAGCAAAGTCCTTATTGTTGTCTACGTCACAGTTCACATATCAATATATGTTTATTCATTATAGTCATTAGTACATTATTTTTTATCAAAAATACCATAAATAAATATTTTGTTACTTCATATTGATTTTTGGAAAATTTATTCAAGGTACCAATCAAACAGAAGGATTTGCTTAGCTTTAAATAAACCCATTTTGTGGATTCTTGCACTTTTGTGTTTGTTTTATACCATTATGTCTTAAATATTAAATTCATTTATTAGAAATTGCATGAAAATATGTAAAGATTACTTTTCATTAGTTAATAAATGCTACCGTTTATTTCATAAATGTCTGTTGTCATTCCTGTCATCCTGCATTGTGTGATCGTAATGTATAGTCCATTTTTGGGCCATTCAGCACAGGACATTGTCATGATTATGGTTTCAATATCTATTGGTATTTAATAGAACTTCAATTCATTGACTGATGAAAATAATAACTGATCCGACTTTTGTCTTAGAATTTATTCTTGGCTTGTTTCTGTGTTTTCTCCCTTTATTCAAAGTGATGCATTTCAATCCTTCTGAAAAAGAACCAATAAAATCCTAAGTTATGGATAATAAAAAATTTTGCATACATGTAGCAAGAACATATGATTTTCAATAAAAATAGCTATGCGGTATGGATTTAACTGATTGTTGAAAGTCGTCCAGTGTCAACAGTTGCTAACCTCCTATATAATTTGGTCTCTGGTGGAGAGTTGTCAAATTAGCAATATACCACATCTTCTTATTCTAATATTATATAACAATCAATTTATGTATTCTTCTTTATAACATTTGGGTATTTTTCCCAGTTATAAATATAGATCAATGTTAAAACTTTAGGCAATTACAATAACATTCCATTTTTCACAAGAATTTTCAATATATATATATATATAAAACGCCAACAACAGAAACAGCAATACTTTAAGCTTATGTAAGAGTTCAACTTCTGTTTTATTTCAATTAGACAATACCTTGAACTCTTTGGATATAACATTAATACAAAAAATTATATTGGTTTTTTTTCTTATTTTTGTGTTGTTTGGTTGCTGTCTCATTTTTATATATGTTTATACATATATCCTAAATCTTCTTTTCTTTAATATTAAAATTCATATTATAGGACACCATGCCCGGCTAACACTAGCATGTGTCAACATCTAGTCAATCATGTTATCAGGCTCAAAATCTTAGTTTGGCATTGAATTTAAAAGTTCACCACATAATGAACATGTGCATTAAATTCAACTTCATGGTAAGCTATGTACCTTAACCTAAAACTTTAACCTAAGAATGTACTATATTTCACATTATGACATTTCTATGTTCAGTGATCCATAAAATCAGGGTAAAAACAGTTATGTGGTGTATAATGTATAAAAAAACCCATCTTATGAACATTTTAAAGTACTCAATTTTGAGTACCCGGTATATACATGTAAAACCACTAGTTTATACTAACTGAAGTTCATGATGAACTGTAACCAAAAACTTTAAACGGATACAATTCAAAGGACTGGGCAGATGGATGCACAAACACTATCAAAACAGGACATAAAACTTACCGAGCAAGATGTATTTCATTTATCCTTCTGAAGCAGGAAAATTGAAGTGTTTCTTTTCTTTCTCTGCCCTCCATGATATAAACTTCAAATGCATTCATGCAAAATATGAAAATCTGCACAAGTAGGACCTTGTACCAAAATTAATCTTACTCGTAAGTTTTTTTTTGTGAAACCGACTCCAGTATACTTACGATCAATCTTCGTCGTATTTTTGTGAAATTGACTCCTGGACAAAAAAATGCTGGAGTCCTAAGACTATTTATTCATCTTTTGGATAATTTGTTGATTATTTATGAATATATGTGTATATATGTCTCTGAAATGCCATTCCAAATCAAATGTGTATTAAAAAAAACTTTACACTAGAAAAGTGTGGGATAGTTACTCATATGGGAAACTATTTCAAATTGGTGGGTTTTCATCACCCTCGTTGTATTGCAGAATAACGATTTAGG